TGACTATATAATAAAATCAAAGATATTTGCAAAAAACCGGGGTTTCTGGGAAAAAATATCGTTTATTTTGACTTTATTGCGATAAAGGATTGGCCTCGTTGTGCTCCCGATTTAAAAAGTTGAGACATTTCGCGCTTTTCCAACAATGAACATTCCTTTATTTGTTTCAGGAATACCCCGCCTTACTTCCATCCACCAGTGTAATTATAGTATTCCACAATGAAGCGTGGTCAACACTTCTTAGGAATTCAAAATATTTTTTTTAAAGCTAAATTTCTAAGAAAACATTAAATTTTTAGAGTTTATGTACGATTCATCCTTTAAACCTTAGTCTTGGCAAATATGATGGGAATTGTTCTTGCTTGCCATTTCTTTTTAAAAGTGACTTGCAGTAGATACAAGAAAGGAAATAGACAGTATTTCTCATTCAAGATATAAATACTACGATGTCTATCTGATTGTAACATAAAGGGCGCAGTTATGAATTGGGCATATCAGTATTACTTTCTAGAAGAAGTTTATATCACGTTCACATGATATTAAGTCTAATCTCTCTTTAAGTTATAATTATCAAAAAGCTGTTAAATGCAACTTAACAAGCCAAAATATATGGTTCACTAGAGAAAAATTTCAAAAAATAACAGAAAAGCTTTACAAATTCAATTTTATCGTGAAAATGATTTGAAATATAAAGTACGAACAAAAGCGTCATTGCATGTACAAATATTTTATTTTATTTAGAACCTTGAATTCAATTATTAACAGATCTCCAATCAATTTAGGTAACATTGATTGAGCTTAAATTAATGAATTCTTTGATTTTTTTGTCGATTTATTTGTTGTTGATGTAACTAGTTAGTGAGATAGTGCTAGTGGATGATGCATCTGGACATAAACATCTTGGAGCTCAACTTGAAGAATACACAAGAAGATTACCAGTCAAAGTTTCAATACACAGGTTAATATTTTACTTGGAATTACACAGATCAGATCAAATCAGACTTTTAGACTTCGCATTCTAAGTGACTTTACTAAATAAAGTCTGGTCTATTGATTGGGAATGACTCAACCAATTTACTTAGACATTTAAATGATAATTTTCATAACATCGGACAAACGACATTCATCATGATTCTACTGTTTGTTTGCCTTCATTGCTTCCTTAATAATCATCAATTATTTTCTACCCCACAATCAAAATCATTTCTTTAAAAATGGTTTCCAGAATGAGAATGATTTTTTAAAAATCCATTAAAAAACAATGAAAAAGTCACCTTTAAGCTGGTATGGTAATGAAGTAAAATTAAAGTATTTGGTTTAGGAGTTCGGCTAGGATAGGGTTGATCAAAGCAAGACTTTTGGGAGCTAAGCACGCATCAGGTACTGATTAAGTTCATTAAAAAAAAAAAAAAATGATTGACAGAAATTTCACAATTTTTGCCCAATTTACGGAGAAAAACACCATTTTTGTCTCGCAAACATTTAGCAAACTAAAAAAACATTTTTTAATAATCGTTCACAAAAAATGTATGTACTATATACCACTGAGAAAATCTTGTCTTAAATTGCCTAAGGTCCTGTCCTAACTTTCCTTGACTCCCATGTGGAGTGCACTGAAGGATGGCTGGAACCATTACTAGCCGAGATTAATAAGAACAGGAAATCAGTTGTCTGTCCCATCATTGATGTTTTATCTGATCAAACTTTTGAATATATTCCAGGTAAGCAGTAACAGATAGTCAAGGTCATGATTTGAGTATATATCATGAATTGAAGACTTGTTTCTAGAACCCCCTAATATCACTAATATAGATCATGAATCCATGATTTGCATTAAGAATAAATGATTTGTGATTGTCAAAAGAATTCATGATTTTAATAAAAATCAATCATTTTAAATAGGAATTCATGACTGAAGTCAAAAATACTTCATAATTTTTATCAAGAATCCATGATTTTAATTGAAGATATTTTCAGCATCTGATATGACTTGGGGAGGGTTCAATTGGAAACTAAACTTCCGTTGGTATAGGGTTCCTCAAAGAGAACTAGACAGAAGGAATGGAGACAGGTATATCTAATATATCAATATGCAGTTTTGGTCCCTTAGAACTCCATTATAAGCGACCCATAACTCGATGAGATAAGAGTTTTAGGTTGATTTTGATTGACAGGACTAAAAAACAGAATACAAAGGAAAATTTGGAGGAATCAAAATGCTTTAAGAGCTGAATCCTGATGGCTTGATCTTGATATAAATGCTTTTCATTTCAGTTATTCTTCCAGGGTATGATTAGCATGCAAGACATTGAAAAAAGATTGAATGAATCTGCAGATTAACTAAAGATTGAGATCAATGCTTTATTTCAATATCTACAATTCAAGAGTTTCCAGCTCAGGCCTCAAAAAAGAAATTTTATCTCATTATTTTTTGTTTGGAGGTCTGTTCCAGTGAGGACCCCGACTATGGCAGGAGGGTTGTTCAGTATAGATAAGGAGTATTTTTATGAGCTTGGTTCCTATGATGAAGGAATGGAGATCTGGGGAGGAGAAAACCTGGAGATGTCTTTCAGGTAACAGTAGTCAAATCTAAGTGTTAATCTCAAACTAAAAATGCATCACAATCGATCCTTATTTTTTTTGAGTGTTAGGAAATTATCAGGGGAGCGTCAAATAGGACTTGCTTCCTCTCCCTCTACCATCCGAGCTTAAGAAATCATTTACCCCAAAGTGGAAAGGAAATTAAGTTCTGGATCCTGATTCCTAATCTAAAAATGCTTTGTAGGGTCTGGATGTGTGGAGGAGAGCTGTTAATTGCAACATGCAGCCATGTAGGACATGTATTCAGAAAATCAACACCTTACACATTTCCAGGAGGCACAACCAACATTGTAAACAGAAACAATGCTCGTCTTGCAGAAGTTTGGATGGATGAATGGAAGGTATTGTTCTAATGAACTTCTTACTTTCCATTATTTAATAGGTTATTTTCCAGCAAAATTAATTAGCATTCCTGTGCATCTAAATTTCTACGTTTAGGATTTCTACTTCAGTCTAAATCCAGCTGCCAGAAAGATAGAAAGAGGAGATTTGGCAGAAAGGTGAGTGTTGTTAAAATCTTTTTAAAAAATGGTGTGAATGATCATTTCACACTGAAATCTTTAAAACCTTTAGATAAAAGCTGAATTGACTTGACTTAAGTACCTTTTATCATTACCCCCCCCCCCACACACTTGAACCTTATCCTTTCACTAGTAGTAATCATAATCTTGAAATCCCATATAATATATTTAGGAGACACTTGAGAGAGAATCTCCGGTGCAAAAGTTTCAGGTAAAATAAAATAAGTTTGTACAATTTAAGATTATAGGATTTAATCTGTATAGGTGGTATTTAGAGAATATATATCCTGAATCTCAGATGCCATTAAACTACCATCATCTTGGAGAAATCAGGCATAAAGAGTCAGGTAAATCAAAACAGTTTTCTCTTCTGATTTTTAACGTTCTCTTATACTTTTTAAAGAGAAAACAGGCTTCTTGTTGCCACCTAAAAAAGGTTAAAATGGTCCCTTCAAATCCATCTAGATAAATTTCATGTTTAGATCTATGTCTTGACACAATGGGGAAGAAAGGAGGAGGTATGATTGGAACTTCAGCTTGTCATGGCATGGGTGGGAACCAGGTGTTTGCGTTCACTAATGCAAACCAAATCATGTCTGATGATAACTGTCTTGATGTATCAGATAAAAAAGGTAATTTTACAATATCTAATCTTAAAGATAATCAGAACAGTTTCCCAGTTTTCATATTATTTATAAGCTGTTCTGATTAATGCTTTATAGAGTTAAATATCTCCAACTACTCCTTGTTGTCGAGAACTTTGAGCTCCTTCGTGAACCTTTTTACAGGATAATTTTAAAGATATATATTTTCAAGTGCCATGTTTAGGTCCAGTAAAACTAATAAGATGCCATGGTCTAGGAGGGAACCAAGCTTGGAGGTAATGAACCTTCAACATAATCTTAAAAAGAAAAAATGTAAACAAATGCTTATGATCCATTCAATATTCATCAGATTTGGATGTACAGTCTATACAATCCTTTAAATTATACAAGATTCTGAGTAAAAAATTATCTGAACTTTTTTGCTAATGTTTAAAATTTTCTCGATGTTTGGATAATTCTAGATATGATCGGTTGACAAATAGAATCATGCATAGTATCAGCAAAAGGTATTTATTTCATTTAATTCTTATTTTTTTCTCTCCAAAATTAAATTTTCTTTATTTAAATTCAGATGCTTGAGCCTAGAAGCAGGGATGAGTTTGCCCCAGATGGTAGAGTGTTCTGAATCCCCCCAGCAAATATGGATCATGGGATCACAATACTCATGGCAAACCAATCAATAAGCTGACAATGTCATGCCCCCCCCCCCCCCGGTCAAAATATATAAAACCTAACAATTTACTATTGTTTCAATACTGAATACATTTAACAAAGTTTTACGATTTTGAACCAAATTCAATTTACAAATTACTGGCCAGTTTTACCAATTTCAACAAAACTAAATGAATAAGAAGTTTAAAATTCTTATTTTGAAATTCCTATTATTCCTGTGATATTTGCTGTAAATATATCTAATACATTACATGAATAAAAAAAACGCAATTTTTGAATGTTTGATTTTAAGACCAAAATAAAATTCAATTCCTGCTTTGTAGGTATATCATAGAGTAAGTAAAACATATTTGTGATATATTTGAAATTATTTTAAATAAATCTCTTTGTTGGACTTTAGATGAGATATGAATTAAAATGTTGTTTTTCAATATAATATGAATGATAAATTGACAATAATAAAAAGATAAATTGACTAAAACTTAACAAAAAATGAATACTAATCAATTCAAAGAGGCTTGTATGTAAATAATAAACCAATGCATTAAAATACTAAGAAAAAAATTGACGACTTTACTAGTAATAAAGATAAATTACTCACATAGTCCAGAAGGAATGCTGTATAAGGGGCATCAGCATGCATGTCAGGCAGGCTGTCCATAGGACCTCCTTCGGCAAATTGACCACCAGGAATGACCTCCTCTCCCATTAGACCTCCACGGGGCTGGGCGACATCGTCTAGTTAATTAGTTAATTAAAACTTGTTTCTTAGTTTTACACATAAAAAAAATATAGCCAGCTTTGTTTTCACCTGAAGGATGGGAGCTTGGTAAATCTATTGCCGAATCCGCTCCGGTCAAATCTTAACAATTATAATTTTGCGGACTTAGTAAGTAAACTGGAAAATTTTCTGTTTATTCATTGTGAATTGATGGTTGATATCATAAGAATTGTTACCTGTATTTGATTGGTTAGCATAGGGATCACTTGCATAGTTCTCTCCGGATTCATGCGAGTCCCCAATGTCTCCAGCATTCCCATACTGATCTCCGGTATTCCCATACTGATCTCCGGTATTCCCATTCTGATCTACAGCATTCCCATACTGATCTACACCATAATTATTCTCAGTGTTTTCGGCTTGGTAATGATCGTTCACATTGTTAAAAGCAGCTTTATCAGGATAGTTGTATTGTTCAACGGAATCTGGGACTGAACCGGTTTGAACTTGATTGTCAGGTGGATAAGAACCAGTTTCGGGATTTAAACCTTCTTGAAAGTTATCAGTTTGGACAGAACCATCTTCTTGAACCATAGGGGTATCTGAAACATTAGAAACGTTAATTATTAGAAAGATCCATTTTAGCAAAAAAGAAGACTAAGCCTTAAATATTGTATTAGCTTTGAATTTTTGAAGTTATAAGATTAGAATCAGTTATTATAGAAATTTTTATTATTACAAACCAGCCAAACACCCCTGAACTACAAGGCCATGTCTGATCCCACACAAAATGAAATTCCTAACTGCTAAACCGTTTTGACATGAATAGAAACACAATGACAAGACAAATAAAATTTAAATAATTATGCAGAGCAATGTAGAAAAAGGAAACAAAAAACTTAGAACTGATAAAATAAAAAAACTATTTACTAGATTTGTGCAACGGAAAAAACGATGAATAAAACCCACCTAGGATTTCAGGAGCGTTAACAATTCCATCCTTGAGGCCTTCCACTCCTTCATCTTAATCAAGAAAAATTATTTCGGCTTCAGAAAAAAAAAGCAAGGAATGAAAGCTTTTAAAAGAACTTAAATATTCAATGAATGATAAAAAGGTTCAGAGCTTTTAAAGGTAACACAGTATAAATAATCAAATTATGAGTTGATTGGCATTTTTTCTTTCTGAGAAATTTTAATAAAGCAGATAGTAGTCAAATTTTTAACAATTAATTAATGCTAAATTGTGAATTAAGTTTGTACTCGCAAAACTTTTTTTTCGTTGTAAACTCTCCCTCAAAGGGTAGATATATAGTACAATAAGATCCAAACTTTTAAAGATATCTCTTAAAATTTAAATAAATAGACATGTATACAAACACAAATAATTATAAATATTATACATATGAAATATCTGCTCATTTCTATCTATTAAATAGTACAATAGTTAAGTATATAATACAAAGAAATTACATGCAAAATGTTAGTAAAAGTGCATAAAAAACTTCACAGCAAACTGGTGAAATTTACAAGTTTTTTCCTCAGCTCCCCCCTTCGGTGAGAACCTAACCAGCCCTGATAATAACACGTGCAGAGGCAAAAATTACACAACAAATTCTTATTTACATAAGGAAACAGTTAAAGCCACACAAGTGATTAAGACAGAAATTAATGAAGAAATAAACACACCATCCCCCCGTCATTCCTAAATCTACCTTTTACATCCCCGGGTTCAAAGAATTTAATTTCTCCTGAATAGTTGGGGATAAATCCTGAAGATGTGTCTCCTCCTTCTGGAAGAGTTTCTTCTACTGGCTTAACATTTTGTTCAATAGCAGCAGCTGGCTCCTCTTTGGCAGGTTCTTCTGAAGATCCAAACCAACCGCTGAAAAATCCTTCGCTCTTTTTCTCCTCGACTTGGACTTGCGCACTTTCTTGTGAAGTTTCTGAAATGAAATCTTCTTGCTGAATATTTGGATTGTTTTCTTGCGCATTTTCTGAATGGATATCTTGAGGATTTTCTGTATGCGTTTCTTGGGGATTTACTGTATTAAATTCTTGTTTTTCGTCAGATTCCTCATTGCTAGATTCCTTATAAATTTCCTCCCCTTTCTCATGATCATCCTCGTAGTAATAGTATGCTTCAGTGGTATCATAATTTTCCTCAGTCGAGTAATAATATGCTTTAGAAGAGTCATCATCCTGACGAGCTTCATCTAGCTCTTGATCTTGTACATCTCCAGTCTCACCATCTTCAGACTCTTCCTCATCATCTTTATGATCCTCATGAGCTCTACCTGATTCTTTATTTTCATTTTGCGCTTCCTTTCCTTCTTCACTGTTAGTATCCGGAGCAAGAGATGGTGATACAACATCAGAATCAGTTGTCTTTTCAGCAGTTGTTGCGTCATCAGTATTCAGCATAATCTTTTTATCTTTCGACTGTTTATATTTAGACTGCAAGTATTGCTGTGCCTCATCAAGAGTAAATGCTTCTCGAAAATTATATGGCTCTTTAAGAGTAGGCACCTCTTCAGAAGGACTAGGTGCTTCTTCAGAAGGATTAGGTGCCTCTTTCAAAGGAAAAGATGCCTCTTCGGAAATAGTTGCCTCTTTGGAAATAGGTGCCTCTTCGGAACTAGGTGCCTCTTCGGAACTAGGTGCCTCTTCGGAACTAGGTGCCTCTTCGGAACTAGGTGCCTCTTCAGAACTAGGTGCCTCTTCAGAACTAGGTGCCTCTCCAGAAGGAGTAGAAGAAAAGGTGGTTTCGGGTTCTTCGATAGGAGTATGAGTGGGATCTTGAATAGATTTAGGGGTGGATTTAGGTTCTTCAATGGGAGCCTGAGTGGGTTCTGCAGTAGATGCCAAAGCTGGTGATGGTTGATCAGGAGAATCTGGAGTACCTTGGTGATTTCCAGTATTAGGTTTCTGTGTAGAAGCAGGAGCAGGAATTGGAGTATAAACATTAGTAGGAGTTTGGTTTTGATCTTGGGCATGAGTTGGGTTTTGAACAGGAGCAGGAGTTGGGGTTTGAACAGGAACAAGGTTTGGTTTTTGAATGGGAGCAGGAGTTGATGGCGGTATTTCAACAGGACCAGTAACTGGGTTTTGAACAGGAGAAGGGGTTGAGTTTTGAACAGGAGCAGGAGTTGGGCTTTGAACAGGAGCAGATGTTGGGTTTTGAACAGGAGCAGGAGATGGGTTTAGAACTGGAAGAGGAGTTGGGATTTGAACTGAAGCAGTAGTTGGGTTTTGAACTGGAGCTGGGTTTTGAATTGGAGCTGGAGTTGGGTTTTGAACTGGAGCTGGATTTGGGTTTTGAACTGGAGCTGGAGTTGGGTTTTGAATTGGAGCTGGAGTTGGGTTTTGAACTGGAGCAGGAGTTGGGTTTTGAACTGGAGCTGGAGTTGGGTTTTGAATTGGAGCAGGAGTTGGGGTTTGAACTGGACCTGGGGTTGGGTTTTGTACAGAAGCAGGAGGTTCTTTTGCTTGTTCTGGAACAGGATCATCAAGAATATTTTCCAGATCACTTAGAGACTCATTAAACTCATCATCATCATCATAGTTTTCATAATCAGCCGTAACATCTTCCTCCTCTACCTCTTCTTGAGCTTCAGGGTTAGTTGCTGATGTGGAGGGCGTGGCAATTGTTCTAGGCGTATCCCTGATCACCTCACCAGAAACGCCACCAGTGGTGTCAATGGGTTGGCTGTGGCCCTGTGGCTGGGTGGGGGATGGGGGTCCAGGAGGGAGTGGAGCTGAACTATCCGACTTCTCACCAACTTCCTAAAAATCAACATGTTTAAATCATCCAGTAAGATTGTTTTCTGCTCAATTTTCATGATTAAAATATTTTAGTTTTTAAAAGAGGTTTAATTTGAACAATATCAAAAAGTAGTTCCGGAAAGAAGGTTATCTAATAAAAATTTTATCAAAACCTGTTGGTATGAGTAATTTTAGATGCTTCTCAAGCTGCTTAGTAAGGTAAATTTGATTTTAATTTCTATTCTCAAATCTTTTATTGAGGGCCACCAAACAAATATTTTACCAGTTATTTTTTTTATGGATTATTTTCACGTTTATATTTAAGGTGAATTTTATTTTCATATGAAATAATGTAAAAAAGATAAGTCTTTTAGTCATTTTTTAATGTTCAGTGATTTATTTTCGTTACATATTCATAAGAATTGTACAAATGTTAAGATTTTTACTTAGACTTCTTATTTTAGATTTTTGAATATTTCGATAACAAAAACATCTGTTAAAATCAATATCAAGAGTAAACATTTTGTTTATGTAAATTTTGAACTCACGATTTTTCCCATCTGAATCTGTGTTCGGGGAGGGTTATGATTCTTAAGACACATTATGTTCCTCCTCAGTCTTTTAAGGATTTATTCTTAAGTCTATTAAGTATTTTACCATATAAATAAACTTTTAAAATTGGTTTTCAATGCACACAAAAAAAGGATAATGCAATCAAATATTATTAACCTGGAATTCTGGAGAAAGAACTGAGCTCTCAATCTCTGGAGTTTTATCTGCCGCCACATTGCTATCTGCGGCGGAAGTTACTCCGCCGGCGGTTGTTGCGGTCTGTGTGGGTTGGATATTTTCTGGTGTGTTGTTCGCCGGCGGAGAATTGTTTATTTTTTTCACATCGTTCTCAAGAAACAACGTGGTTCCGTCAACAACCTTAAATAAATAGCTTCTAATAAAAAGTGAAGAAAAAAGACAAATATGTTCTCATATTTTAAGATAACCACCCTTTTGGGAATGTGATTTTAAAAGATCTGGGGGAAGAATGAAAAGTTAGACATAAAAAAAAGTCCATTACCTCGAAATTTTCCCGAGCTTGTGTTGGCGATAGGGTGGGGTTTATCTTTGATGGTGGATCTGTACTGGAAACCAGAGGTTGAGATAATTCCAGAGGCTGGGATGACGGACTATCAGACGGAACCCTGTTATCCAAGGAGGGCTCAATCTAAACAGAACAAAAATCTCAAACTTTAGTCGGAACTTTTGCGCAGTGAATCTCGAGATTAACTATCGATCTCTTATGTCCATTTGACAGCCCAAATTTTTGTTTTGAATAATCTTCTGGTTTGTTTATTTTCTTGTGGTTTTTAACAATTTTTTTTATTTTTCATCGATTTTGATGGTTATTTTATCGTTTTAACTGACAAGGGTCAACCCAGACCGAAATATATTTTCAATAAATTTGAAACTAACATCTACTTCTTTACTCTACAGACGTTTGGTCCATCACCATCACCGAATTTTAAATCGATCTCTATCTTGTGCAAATCTACGGATTAGCTGAATTCCTTTTCGGTATCACTCGGTAAACATACCCTCCACGGATAACTTTAATCGATCCTCAAAATTAAAAGTGCGCACAATGGATATCGAAATCATGAGTTAAAAATTATCGATACTCTACACAAAAGTTCCGGGTAAATATATTTGACAAATGAAGAATTGTTTTAAAATAAAATTTGTTCGTTATAATGTTAAAGTGCACTTTTTATTTTTGAGCTTTTTTGACCAACAAAATATACCAATTAAAGAAAAAATAGACAGAAAACATCACTTTTATGCTCATCATAATTACTTTATATTTTTATGCAGTGTTTCGGATCCGGATCCGGTCGGATCCGTATCATTTGGTCGGATCCGGATCCGTATCAGGAAACGTTGATATGGATCCGGGTAGCGCCAAAAATTAACCAAAACCATGGAATAAATAAATCAAAATGGTTCGTAAATGTATTATTTACATTTTACATGACGAAAATTTTTCAAAATTATCTTTAATAATTTAATGTTTACATTTATATAATAGTAAATTAATGACGACATTTTATAAATTATAACCTTGCATAACATTTAATAGGGAAAATCCGATTCACAGAATCAAAAGTTACCTCGGATCCGTATCAGGATCCGGATCCATCATCACGGATGCGGATCCGAATCAAAATGATATGGATCCGAAACACTGTTTTTATGTTTAAGTTTCTTCAAGAAACCTCTTGGAAAATATTATTAGAGAAAACTTAATTTTATTATGAAACAAACAAACTTTATTCACGTGCTGTTTATTCAGATATCAATTAACTTGTTTTTATTTTTGAAGTTCTACTGACCTGAGGAGGTTGAGGCTTAAAGTTTGGCTCGAGGTCGACCTCTACTGATGGATTGGAAATAAATACTTTAGTCTCTTGAATGTGTCTCTTGTTCACATAGCCTCGTCTTCCATCGATCTAGAAATACACATTTTTGACAAGAAAATCTGCGAAAAATAACAATAGACAAAATTGGTTAAAATGTCAGGTACTGCTTGAAGGCTTGGAACAAATTAGGACATGTCAGGATTTTTGGCTATTTTTAATTTATCCCGATATTCGCTCATTCACTCGTTAAAATATCAAAATTACAGTTGATATTCTAGGGGTAAATATTTTTATGAATCAACTCCTAGGGAGGTGGGAAGAAATGAATTTTTAAAAAATCTCGAGGAAAAACAAAAAATTTGAAAATAATTTTAACCAGAGGGGGGGGGGGATATTTGTCAATAACATTTACACCCCTTATGTTATTCAACAATAAAATCCTATACTTATTTTTCAAGAAAACTAACTCACCATGACCCCCCAGAGATCTGGATTAGATCCTGCTCCACGAGAGAATATTCGAACCTCCTTGTGTGGTGGGAAACTGAGCATCCCATCGTGAACCGCCTGGTATTTGATCGTTGTTCTTCCGAGCCCCAACTCCGCTAAAATATATCCCCAATCCTACTTCAGCACTTAATACACTTGACAATTAACGAAACCAGAATGAAAATAATATTTTAATCCAAAAACGGGCATAAAAAAAAACACATTTTTTAACGACTTACAAAATAGTTACTATCTATACCTAGTTTAAAAACGTCCAATTATTCATTAATTCTTAACCCTTACTTAATATGGAGACTCTTTTCCGTTAGTATAATTTAGTGAATTTTCTTTAAATTTCCGTTGAAATCCTAACAAATAAAGTAAAATTCAATATTACAAAAAGTTTGATGATATGTCTAAATATGACCAAGGAAACTATTATTAACCCCCACCCACCCACCTCCACAGCAATGAAACATTCCAGAATAAACAACAAATCTAGGAGATAACTACAGAATTAATAGACTTGAAGTGCAACTTTGTTTTCAGTTTGTTGAATTCGACTTTGAGAAAATAAAGGAATACAAAAGTAAAAAGAAATATATGATGATGATTTTAATTAACACTTGTAATTTCATATTTTGTAACTATAGCAAGAAAATAAATTATTTTGAAATTGCACAGGTAATATTAGATTGACAGTTAAAAATACTAACTGCCAAGAAAGTGTTTATATATCTTTATATGTTAATCGAAAATATAATCAATTAACCGAAATGCTCAATATATATTAATATAGTTGTATTTAATGTATGCATATTGAAGAACAAATATATTTCAATAATAAAAATTGGACCTATAAAACTTTAAATACCCCCCCCCCCCTTTACAGATACGTCAAAAGTAGTCTTATAAAACATAACATTATATTAAATTCTATCGAACATCGAACTCAAAAATGTTAAGAATCGTTAAGGAAATTACCCATCAAACTAATAAAGAATAGTATTGTCCTGGAATCCTTGTATTACAATAACATTAATCCTGTATCTCTTGTTAAAAATATATTTTTAATATTTTTTATTGACTTTAAAAACACTCGAGCAAAAAAAGTAACATACCGCTGCATGAGGGTTCCGAGCATAATCTTTTATCTGATAGATTTGCACCTATTTTCCCTAGAATTCCGCTAAATAAACAATATATTACTATTTTTCGCATTTTTCTGTTCTTTCTTGTTCCACGTCAGGCCATGACTGCGCCTGCGCACAATCTAAGGATTAATGTACTCTCTAGACATTTCTCTAACCGGTTTTTTAAGGAAAATGTCGTCTTCGTTTGAATCCCTTTAAATGTGCTATATCAATTGAACTAAAATTCATTAATAGTAAAATTGATTTAATCTTTTAAATGTTGCCGTAAGCACATTGATGGAAAAATAAAGGGAAAAATTTAATGACAGCAAGAAAAGAAACTATTTGAAAATTTGATCGGATATGATGGTAGATCTGTTTAAATTCGGTTGGTTTCTATAGCACTCTTTTGTCTGCTTCTGAAATGACGCGGCAATGAAACTCTGCGCTATCAAATGTTAACATTTTCGAATTTGAGTTCCCTTTTTTTTAAAGGGAGATAACATACATTTCAAGGGCGCAGGAACAACTCTTTCACCAGCGACTTATACTTTTCCCGGATCTCAGGCGAAACTGTTGCCAGCTTAGCTCAAGACAGCGGAATTGAGAAGTATACCCCCTTTCCTGTTGTACGGTGAATCTGTACTGAAGCTTGAAGAACATTCTCTGCTATCCTCTCTCTCCCAGGACGGATGTATTCCGGTTCTCGTCTATGATCAATCCGGAAATCTGAAGGAGCACCTCACTAGTCTCTTAAACAACGTAAGAATCCAGTTGATTTCAGAGAAGGGAGAATGTTGGATCGAGGTCAACTTTGACGCTACTTCTGAGCAGGTTTATAAAGAGGTTGGGAGAATATTTAACCATGTCTCAAGTAAGGCTCAGATCCGGATCGTTGACAGTGCTGGCCTTCCAGGACCACCTATACCATCTACCGAAGATCTAAAACCTATTCTGGAGAAGCTGCATGCCTACAGACAGCCAAGAATTCTGAGAATCAGACTCCTTGATAAAGAACTTGTGGATTATGAGGAGCTGTCTGACGCCACAGCTACGTTCTGTCGTCTAGATTTAAACAAGCCCAAGCAGTTACACCTCAAGATTAATCTGTTGTTTAACCCTCCTCTTCACTGTCTCTTGGAAAAGATTGATCTCGTTGAAATCCCCGCTTTGGACGAAGTGAACTGGGAATTTTTTTTGCTCAATGCAGGAAAAGTTTCATCTCTTCTAGATCCATCACATTAAGATGAGGTTTTAGGGTTGGTCGAGGTTCCGATCTCTGGTAGGGCTGTGTCCTTCTAAAGATAGGGTAGGTAATCCAGGGATAGTTGCGGTGTCCAACAATCTCTGCTCCAACGACATTGAGAAATTTACAGAGGAGATTATCGACGGGGAAATTCTGAACATCAGCAAGTTTCACTTTTCAATAAGGAAAAGCTCTAGTTTCCATGTCTCAACATTCTTGCAGGAATGTTGCCTGGGGGAGGGGCCGAGGCCCATTCTCTTCAAAACTTGTATCGGAGTACAGTTAGGAGACCTGTATCTCTCTTACGTTCTAACAGCCTTGTTTGTGCAGATCTAGATATAAACTTGTAACGCTTATACTAGTTCATCAGAATCTCAGTTCTAACGGACTGGTTTGTGCAGATCTATATATATATATATTCCTGAGTTTTATTTGTATTCGCTATTGCTCTGATCTTTATCTAGTTTATTTACTCTTAGTTACAAACTAGTTGATAAATGTGATAGTGTGTCGAGATGTATGAACTTGAAATATTTTGTCATAAATTAAGGTTTAAACTGTGATGATAGCTCGTTAGATATATAATCTTGCCATATATTATATGTAACTGAATTGTTTGTGCAGATCTCTATATTTATATATATATTCCTGAGCTTTAAGTAGTACATTTGTATTCTGTATTGCTCTGATCTTTATCTAGTTATTTACTGGTTATTACAAACTAGTTGATAGAGTTGATAATGTGTTGAGATGTATGAACTCAAAATATTTTGTCAGAAAATTAAGGTTTAAACTGTGATGATAACTTGTCAGATATATAATCTTGCCATATATGTAACTGAACTTGACTCACTTCTAAAAGAGATAAGATAGGTTTTGGATAATTGGTATCGATCAGTTTATTTGCAATGTGCCAATGAAACGGTTTACCGTTATTTCATGGCTAGTTAGATTTTAGGACCAGATATTTCAATCTGAATTTGCTAGTCAGAAGACATTTTCTCTCTGAAGTAAAACACTGTTATTTTCTACAGCTCGAACAGGTGTACAGGCTGAAGAAGAGTAAACAAATCTCTGGCAAAGGACTTGTGAAGATACTTAAGCTTTGTGCAAGAATCTAAACTTTTGTGGCTGTGACCAACTCTCCAACAAAGAACTCATACAGATACTTCAGAGTCATGGAAGTACACTCAGATCTCTGATCATTGTGTGGACAAATATAATTGGAGAGAATATGGCTGAAATAATTGGAACCCTGTCCTTTTTAGAGGACCTGATCTTGAAATACTATGGACAACTCTCTGATAATGGATTTGTGCAGATACTTCAGCTGTGTGGGATGTATCCGGTACAAATATAACTGAAGAGAATTTTGCTGAAATCAATGGAGTCCTGTCTTGTCTAGAGAACCTGAACTTGAAATACTGTGACCAACTCTCTGACAATGGATTTGGGCAGATACTTCAGCTGTGTGGGATGTAACCGGTACAAATATAACTGGAGAGAATTTTGCTGAAATCAATGGAGTCCTGTCTTGTCTAGAGAACCTGAACTTGAAATACTGTGACCAACTCTCTGACTATGGATTTGGGCAGGTACTTCAACTTTGTAGGAGCACTCTTAGATACCTGGATGTATCCTACACAAATATAACGGGAGAGAATTTGAGTGAATTTAATATAACTCTGACTTGGTTAGAAAACCTGAACTTGTCTTGTTGTAAACAACTTTCTAACAAGGGACTGCTGCAAATACTTCAGCTTTGTGGAAGCGCTCTTAGATCCCTGGATGTTACCTGATCAAATATAACTGGAGAGAATTTTGCTGAATTTAAGGAAACTCTCCCATGTCTAAAAAACCTGGACTTGTATTGTTTGAAACAACTCTCTAACAATGGATTTTCGAAGATACTGCAGCTTTGTGTTTTCAAATATTGGCTGGAAGTATAGTTGTACACTTGCTTATTGACAAGACAAGTATTATTATTATTATTAGATAAAACTGTTAAATTACCTAAATCTATATCCCACATATGTATATATTATTATTTTTTATTCCAGAAATGAATGTAAAATGTCGGACAGGGTGTACGTATTAGTATCAAATATTCCACCTGTTTTCCACACACTAGATCTCAGGGATATTTGTCTTCTTTCTCAACAAATTTGTTCCAGAATTAGCTAATCGTTTTATTTGGGGGGAGGGGGGGGGATGCATAATCCTGGCATAATTCAAATTTTCATCGAATAAATGTAGTTCAATTGTATATGTGCAATTTCATTAGGCTAGTCGTTCAAAATTAAAGTATATCAAGTATTTTTAGCCATTTTTATTTTAATGAATTTAGAATTTGACTTGATTTCATGCTGATGTAGGCAGGATGACTTAGCTTTAGTGACTTTCACACGTCCCTACACATTATTTTATCTACAGCTCAACCTATTTGAATTAATAAGACAAATATATTTTCAGACGATTTTTCTCCGATTTTGTTGAAAATGACAAGTTCATTTGCTTCCATTACCGTCATCGACCTCACAAGCAAGAACCAGTCAGAAACGAAAGTGATAACAATACATCCACAATTATCATACCAGCTGCGAAGGACAAGAAAATCTCCGAACAAAGTGAGGACAAATCTGCCAAACCGATCGAAAAATCCGCTAGGACTGGTGTAGCCAAAACCTTTGGTGAACAAGTGACTGGCCGTGTTCACCAATCACGTGATCAGGAGCCACCTGACCGGCCCAGTTGCTGTTGTGTAGTTCAGCTCGATGCTCAACATGTAAATTCATTCCTTACTAGTTTCCACAGAAAACACTGGTTAGATTCAACTGATACAGAGCTAGATACAAGATGTTTCATCGCTAAAATTGCAAACGACAAACACAGGTTGGTTTCATTTGGTAGCAAAAACTTTCATTTTACGAATTCTGACTTATAACTAATTCATATTTGGTATATATTTGGTTTTTATTTCTTCTATAATGTTAGCATGATTGTATTTTTATTCAGAATAATTTTACGTTAATTGGAAAATCTTGGTTTTCCGTCTAAAAATTGATTATTTATATCAACGGTATATCTGCATTAAGGATTGCTGATTTATTCAGTAAAGATAGGAAGCAAAGTGAAAGAATTAATTACTATTCCAAGGGACATTAGTTCCAAAACTAACACTTAGACTGGGTTTTTAGTATCCTAGCCTATAAAAACTATTTGATTTGTTGATTTGAATTCCCGCAATTTTAACAACCCATTTTCCGCGTTACAAATAAACTCTTATTGAAAGAACAAAATAATATCAATATTTTGATTTATCAATGCTATGAGGATTTCAAATTATAAAAGAACTGTAATTTTTTATTTTCTATTTTGTTTTTTTTTTATCAAAAAATCTTGTTTTGTTATGACTTATGAGAATGCGTAATTGCTTGAAAGTTGACATTCATATGAATTCTAGTAATTGTCTGAAAACCAGGATATGTTCAAAAACGCGATATGAGCTGAAATGCGGTATTTGTTTCAAAAAAGGGATATGTTTAAAAATAAAACACAGAATCATCAAAAACTTATCCTTACACCTTATTATTAGTTTAAAGTTGACAATTTTTGTTTCAATATAGCCATTTTTTAGAAATGTAAGGTGTAGCTTTTGTTCAACTCGGCTTGGATTTAAAGATATATACGCTTGAAAAAATAACTTTGCAGATTTGGCCCATTTCTTACACTCAGTGTTAGAAATGGGTCAAGTGTTAGTTTTGGAACTAATGTCCCCTGTATTCAAATTATCGATACAAAAACGACAATATTCTCCTCATTGTTACTCAGATTAAGGATGAAAGGGTGACATTGTAAATATTTGAAAATTTGAATTATAATGAGGACCTTTCTATGCATAGTAGGCTTTGAGGCTTGTAAAACAAAACCAAAAAAAAAGTTTGCTAATTTTATAAAAAAAAATTAGTGAATTTTCAAATTCCACAAAAATCGAACTTTGTTGGAATCAAATTTTTGAAATTTTGATCATTCATAAACCTTCCCTGGTGTCTTGTGAGGTCCCACACAAAATTTGGGCCCGATCGGTTCAGCCGTTTTGGAGTTTTCAAACAAAAAACGGATTATTTGTTCCAGTGAACTGAGTATACTACCCGAGCAGCGACCCCCGAATATAATGCCCCGGGGTAATGTTGGAACATCAACTAAATTTTTCCTGGAAGCTATTCGAGACTGTAGACTCCCCGCTAAACTTATAGGAACCTTATCAAAACTAAATAGTAAACAAATTTTTTTTATTTTTTTTATTTTTAACATGATGGAGGGGGGTTTTGTTTTAGAAAAATCGAGAAAAATCAATATAAAAAAGATATCTTTTACCAATAGAAAATGTCTTTTTTTTTTTAAAGGAATATATTTTTCGGTAATATCATATACTTCACCATATAAGTAACTCACACATCCATACATCGCACCTGTGTGTTAACTGTAAAGTGTAAAACGTTTATATCCGACTCTCCTGTCACACTTTTCCTTATTTAATTTAGAAGGGCGAATATTAATCAAATTAACGTCTTTTAACCAGTTAAACATTGTTAATTAGGTTTCATAAATCTTCATACATACATAATTAAAAGTTTAACGTGTATTTCAAACTATTTAAGTTTCGAACATACAAATCTTTTGAGCTCAGCAACCCTACCCGCCAATAAATTCACNATAAATTTGATGACATTTTTTTACTTTTCCCCCCCCAAAAATCATTAATTTAACTCTCATTTTTTTTGTATTCTTTTTTAAAATAAAACTCGAGAGAATTTTCTATTTTTTCGATTTATTTTTTAAAAATTTAAATCCTGACTCAATGATTTTCGTAGTTTTGATATGTGAACATTAGGAAAACTTGGTCTGGAGTTCCCTAAAAGTAAACACCGGAAGTACGGTGAAGTGCCGTTTGAGTATGCTCCAACAAGAACCAAAGGATGGAAGTCCCTCGATAGAACTAAACTACAGGTCCGTATTTTTTGTTTTGTCTGTTTGTTTGTTTGTTTGTTTGTTCACTATAAACGTCGAAACATTTAAGAACCAATACATGATATGTAAAAAAATATATTTTTCAAAAGAGAAAACCATAATTTTTTAACTATCAAGTTGTGAGCGAGTATGTTCTGTACTGTACTGTTTTTCTATGTTCAGTACTGTACTGTACTATTTTTCTATTTGTGAGCGATTGTGTACTGTTACTGTACTGCACGGGTTTAATTCATTGAAATATTTTTTGTTCTGATCAGTATTACCTCTAACTTTACCTTTTCTAAATCCATAGAAAATGTTTTAGTAAACGTTTTTCGAAAAGAATTTATTAAACAATTGTTGACAAATTAATTGACTAATTAGCTGATTGATTTATTGAGTGTTGGTTGATTTATTGATTAATTGATTGTTGCTTGATTGGTTTATTATTTAATTGGTGATTGGTTGTTTGATTGATTAATTGATTGTTTCATCGATTAGTTGGTTGGTTGATTTTTTAAATTGTTTCATCGATTAGTTGGTTAGTTCATTCATTAATTGTTTTATCGATGAGTTGGTTGGTTGATTCATTAATTGTTTCATCGATTAGTTGGTTAGTTGATTCATTAATTTTTTCATCGATTAATTGGTTAGTTGATTCATTAATTGTTTCATCGATTAGGTGGTTAGTTGATTCATTAATTGTTTCATCGATTAATTGGTTAGCTGATTCATTAATTGTTTCATCGATTAGATGGTTGGTTGGTTCATTAATTGTTTCATCGATTAGTTGGTTTGTTGGTTCATTAATTGTTTCATCGATTAGTTGGTTGGTTGGTTCATTAATTGTTTTATCGATGAGTTGGTCGGTTGATTCATTAATTGTTTCATCGATTAGTTGGTTGGTTGGTTGGTTGGTTGGTTCATTAATTGTTTCATCGATTAGTTGGTTGGTTGGTTCATTCATTGATTGTTTTATTGATTTATTGACTTATTGATTCATTAATTGATCTAGGCCCTGAACACTGCTGGGCCAAGAATCGAGGTTGGAGTAGATGCTGGTAAGGAGGATTCAGGAGCAGAGGATGATGATGATACTTGTGAAGAGTGGGAGAGACATGAAGCTCTGCATGATGATGTTCACGCCAATAGAACTATTGGAAGACAGGTTAAATCATTTATCACAATTATTACAATTATCTGTGGATTTCTTAATGTAAACGAAAATATGTGAATTCAAATAATAATGATTAAAAAAAAAATAGTAAAAAGTTTATTAAGACAATATTAAGTGATGGTAACAATTAAAATTGACTTTAACAATGATCTAAAACTGATTATTATTAGGAAAACATACAATTAAAAACAATAAAAATAAGATTTTAGTAATTAGAATTAGATGACAATAATGATAATGGTTATAATAATGATATTAATGACAATACTGATAATTATGACAATAATAATAATGATGACAATAATGATAATAATAATGACAATTATATTACATGAAAAATTAGATTAATTATTACAATATTAATAATGATACTTTTAGGTAAACTCTAGCAGCTACCTAGCGGAGTGTGGAGACCTGATATTATGAATGATTACAATAATAATAATGATACTTTAGGTGAACTCCAGTAGTTACTTAGCTGAGTGTGGAGACCTGATACTATGAATAATTACAATAAAAATAATGATACTTTAGGTGAACTCTAGCAGTTACCTAGCGGAGGGTGGAGACCTGATATTATGAATGATTACAATAATAATAATGATACTTTAGTAAACTCTAGCAGCTATAATGCTGAGGGTGGAAACCTGATGAATGATTACAATAATAATGATGATACTTTAGGTGAACTCTAGCAGCTACCTAGCGGAGGGTGGAGACCTGGACCAGCAGCCTGGAACCAAGGAGAAACCATTCGAGGAGGAAATAGAGTTGGTTTGGGAGAAGGGAGGCTCAGGGCTTAACTTCTATACAGACGCACAGGTTAGCTTAGCTCGGACCTTTTGTATTGGTAATCCATTCAAGAAGCATTAATCCGTATCTTGTGCGGATTAAATTAATTCCTTTTGGATATTTCTATTAAAAAAATCTTTTATTTTCACACAGTGATTACCAGAAATCTATAAAAGTGATTGTCGTCTCTCATTTTTTAATGAAATTAACTTTAATTTAGCTGCGCAGTGTGCAGAGTTTAAATCAAGATGAGTCACTGGCAAGACTTTGCAACCTTGTACCTCCTTCAAATTTAATTTTTCACCCAAAAATTAAACAAACCAAACTTGACTGAAATATGAATGCAATTGATATATTACTATTAAGCTCATTTTTCCGCGGCATTTGATCTTAAATATGTAATACGACAAATAACCTCTTGCTATGTATTCATATATCTGGGATTCACTGTATCTATGTATAAAAATCATTTCATCCCCCTGTTTGAAACTCTTTTTTACACCCAAAAATTAAATAAAGCAAACTTGACTGGTGGCATATATGCTAAAAATCATTTTATTCTTTCATCGCAGAAGTTATGTATATTTTTTAGGGTTTTATTCGCTAAATTGTGGGAAATGAATTTTAGGGAAAATCAATTATTTTTAGGTTAAAAGTATAAATAAGAACAAAAAACTTGCATTTTGATGTCCAATTTTTTATTTGTCCCCCCCCCCCCCCAAATCATTTTAAACACTTTTCCCCAAAACACGCAAGATTCTGATCATAAATAAATGTTACTTTTTTTATAAAATGTTCCTGTTTTAGTACTGGAAGGCCCAGGAAGGAGATTTTGACGAGCAGACTACGGATGACTGGGATGTGGATATGTCGGTCTACTACGAGAAGAATACAGTTCATGATATGGTTAGTCACACACTCTTAACTGTAGACGTAATTTAAAGCGTTGTCTCTAGTCAAAAATGAATGAGATATTCGTGATTTTTCTTTACTTTTTTCAATTCTTGTTGCGAATTTTTTTCTGCAGAAGCAAAGAAGGAAGTTTTGAGAATTAAACACTTTTCAAACCAGAAAACCGATGATATCTTCCACAATTTTGATTAGATCATGGTATAAAGGGTATTGTTGTCAATCGGACACGCCCTTTTATAAATAAAGGGGCGCTACAAATTACAATAGAAGCTCCTTTAATACGAAGAATCTATCTATCTACATTGGAACTTGCTACACCTTAAATTCATTTTTTAACCTTATCGTATTTCAGATTTTAGTGTTATTTAAAAATTAGGGAGAGGGGGATAAGGGTTGTTTGCTTTCTACTATGACGTATTAGGATAGCTTCAGAACTAGGTTTTTTTAAGAAAACATTTTGTCAGGATCAGAATATTGTTAACAATATTTGTTTTTGTTTACAAAAATTACTAGTTTTACTATTCGATCAGAGTAAAATTTTTTAAATAGAAACAAATTATCTAACAAGTAGGAAGAATTAAGAAAAATGTACAGGTGTCCCACAAAATATGATAGTTAAGGGACGACTTGAAGGTCGTCCTAGATTCTAGATTCTTGAGATATGCGGAGTTTTGTTCAGATTTAGACAATTTCCTTGGTTTAATTAAGTGAATTGAAATCTTAACGAAATTCTTTATAACTACGGTAATTTTGAAAGATCAAAAAGGCAGCCCACATTCTGGTAGACAAATTAATGCCACAAATTCTTAAAAAATCAAAGATGATTTTTAAGCTTTCTCTCAACTGTCATGTTTTTTGGGACACTCTGTATCTTATTTTTCAATAATAATTCTCAAATGAAAAGTTTTTCCAAGGATGCTGTCGATCGGTATGATATGCGAAGATCTGAATTCCTCCGCGCCGGAAAGCACTCAGAATCTGTTTTCAAAAAACGAGAAAATCCGCAAACCTCAAAACCCGGTCCTTCACGCCCAACAACCTCGCGGGGTCAACACAGAAGAGGATTAAAAAGACAAATCGGAGATTTCGAGGTTAGTACAAGCTCATTAGGTTTTTTTGTAATGGCGCTTTTAGTTTTTTTTTTTACTAATGCTGGGAATGTGGAGATTACTCTTGATTGTTTGTTGTACTCTACATTTTACCCCCTTCCCCTTACTTACCTTTTATTTTTACTATTTGGTACTCAATAACTTTCAATCGGATAAGCTTCCCCCCACCGCCTTTCCTAAATGCTTTTTTCAGTTAG